GAATTCACTAATTATTCTAACATTAAAATGTAATAAAGATCCCAAGGATGTGAAAGCTTATAGACCTATTTCTTTAATTAACGAAGATGTTAAGATTTTGGCTGAAAGGATGAACAGTTTCATCGGAAAATACACAAAGACCAATCAAAATGGATTTATAAAAGGGAGGCAAATGGAAAATGTAACTAGAAGAGTATTGAATGTAATTCACTATTTATCTAAAAGTAAAAAGAAAGCCGGGATAATGGCATTAGATATTTTTAAGTCTTGGGTCCTTTCAGGGAGAAAAGTGGGATAGAAATATTTTAATAGAATGAATGATTTGATGGAATAGCCGGCACTAAAAAGGTTGGTAGAAAAGCTTGAATGTGGTATACAATTAGAAGTATAATTCATCAATTATACTGTAAAAAATTTGCCACAGTATTAGTGAATGATGGAGCAACAGAACAAATTTTAGCAAGCCAAGTTATGTGATGAGAATGCCCTCTTTCCCCAATACTATTTGCTGGCAAATGCTATTAGGGAAGATAAGTCAATACAGGGTATAGGCCAAAAAGATTAATTTATTTGTTTATTACACATTACTAGCAACTGAGGTTCCATCTACTGTTACAGAGCATATAAAAGCTCATTTGGAAAAAGCTGGAGAAGTAATCAGCTTAAAAATAAATTGGTTTAAATCAGAAATGATGTTATTTAATTGTAATAATTTTAAAAAAGCACTGATAAAGGAAAACTTGATATTAAGATAGAGTATTAAATATTTGGGAAAAATCAAACAAAAAAAATTTCACAGGATCTAAAAAGAAAAATTTTAAGGAATTGATATTAGAAGTGAAAATTGAAGAGAAGGAATACAGGAAGATTAAGCTATCTTGGTTTGATCAAATTGCATTCTACAACATGAAAATTTTGCTGAGGTTTAATTTTTTTTTAAAATTATCAATAAGGAATGAAGAAATAAAAGAACAGGAAAACATGATTAATGAATTCTGCAATGGTGATAGAAGAGCCAGGATAAATATGCTATCAACCTCAAAGAGACAGGGTCTTTCTAACATAAAATCTTATTATTTAGCTAATTAATTAAGATTCATTCCAGATATTATATCCTCCCAAGATACTCTGATTTTATTTAACTTGGAAATGCAAGAATTGAGGGATGATATAGAGAACACTGTGTTTAAGAAAAACAATAATAATGGTATAAAAGAGTTGAGAAAATACCCTTTTTGAAAAATATGTTGCTAACCTGGACTAAATACAGACAAATAATTTCCCCTTTAACATGTGTAGCTGAAATAGAGGAGTTTCCAGAGAATTTGAAACAAATTTTTCAGGATTTATTAAAAAGGAAACAGGATCATAGATTAGAAGACTGGTTGGAGAAAACAAACTCCAAAGAAAAACTAAGAATAATATTAGAAGGTGAGAAGACAACATGGATTAAAATATAATAGTCTTTAAGATGCATCATCTTTTTGTCTTTGTTTTGTTTATTTTAGATTTTGCCTGATAAACATGGATTAATGTGATTCAGTTAGAGCACTGGACAAACAGAATGGGAAAGAATAATGGCAATTTCCACAAACTGACGAAATTTGAGGAAATTATAATTCAAAGAGAGAAGGAAAAGGGTAGGGCAAGGATAGGGGCGGTGGGCAAAATTTGTAAGATATTATAAGGTGTAGAAAAGGCTCTTAAAACTTATGGGGAAACAGATTCAGCTAATAATGTCTGGAAGAATAAAAGAAAACTTTTATAAATTGATCTGGAGACAATATTTGACACTTGTGAAATTAAATTCTACGGATTCTAAATATTTCAAATTATGTTGGTGATGTGTACTTACTTCCATATGTGTTCAGAGTGTAATTAGTATTGACATTTTGGATGTTGGTATTTAAATAAATGGAAAAAATTGTAAAAGTAACATCAGAAGTCTCCCCCAAAATCACATTATTATCTACCTTTCCTGAAAAGCAGTAGGGCTGGACTTAAAAAGAGTTAATTGTGGTAATGGCAGCTAAATTAGTGACTGCAAAAATGGAAAACTTAAATGAATATTTCAATTAAGTGAATGGTGCTATGAAATTTGGGAAATAGCAATTAATGACAAATTGACATGTGACATAAGATTTTTGAAAGGGATTATTAAAGGAGAATTAGTTTGTTGCTTTATGGCAAGATTTCTTGAATTTTGTATTTCTGAAAGACGAAGTCTGACTACCCAAACGAGACAATTTTTGGAAAGGATATGGAACATCATAACTGGTGAAATATATCTCTACTGGTCCCAATGATGGGTGCACTAATTTTAGTTATGATTATTGAATTGTTGTAAGATATGTGTATTTCTTTTTTTTCTGTTTTGTCTATATATTATTTAACCTTTAATTAAAAATGTAACAAAAAAGAATAAACATGCAGATATATTTAAAACAAAATTCTTTTACTGAAGACTCAGACATCCTTTTTCACTTTCAATACTTGAAGTGGTTTCAAAAATGTTTTAATTTAGCGGTTTGCTTTTGTTTTACTACAGTATAATAACTGATTTGTTTTTATTGCTTATTTGTTAGGCTGGAAGCAGGGAGGCAGAGGTATCATATTTTTCGCTCCATAAGACGCACCTTTCCACAAGACGCACCAAATTTTTAGGAGAAGAAAACAGGAAAAAATATTTTTTTTCTTTTCCTAAAAATTGGTGAGCCTTATGGAGAGGTCCATCTTATGGAACACACCCTAGGACCCTTTGGAGGCTCGCCCTGCCCCTCCAGGGGTCAGAGGGGGCGAAATCGCCAGTTTCTGGGACTTGAGGCTTGCGAAGCTTCAGAAGAGTCCCAGAAGCTGGCGATTTCCCCCCCTCTGGCCCAGCAGGGGGGGCAGGGTGAGCCTCCAAAGGGTCCTAGGGTGTTTTGGAGGGGGAAAAGTGCGTCTTATGGAGCAAAAAATACGGTAAATGGAGAAGTGTTGATCCCAACAATTTGGAATTTCTCCTGTTTCCTGGGTGATCTATCTGCTTCATGTTCTTGTGTGGGAGGGAGAAGGGAAAGTAGGGGTATACAGGATGTTGGGGGGCTCAGAAAGAGAACATAAGATTTACTTTCTTTCAATCCTTCTCTCATTAAAGCCACAGTTCTCCCACTACGCCTGTTCTCTTACCTCCCTCAAACAGCTTCTAGCTAGAGCAGCTACCTCAAGATCTACAGAGATATTTAGGCTCTATGGAGGTATTCTTCCACTTGCTTGTTCTGCTTCAAGCACAAACTCTAAATATGTTTCTTGAATGATATTATCTACGAGACAGTTGTCTGACTGGCCCATGGAAGTGATGAGTATGCTATTAAATGATCACTGTGATCTCCACAGCCTAGAGCAGTGGGCCACAAACTTGGGCCTCCAGATGTTCTTGGACTACAACTCCCAAAAGCCTTCACCACTACCTCTGCTGGCCAGGATTTCTGGGAGTTGAAATCCAAGAACACCTGGAAGCCCAAGGTTGGGGACCATTGGCCTAGAGGACAGTAAGATAGGGAGAAGACAAGCAGCTTTTCCAAAAGGGGATCTTTTCAGGCAAAGCTTCTATTGTACTCTGGTGCAAAAATGCATATGAACGTGATCAAAGAAATCATAATTCTGTACAGACTTAAGTCTTGTTGGAGATGTATGGGTGTCTTTTTCTCAGAGGTCGAGAGAAGAGATCTCTGTTTCAGGACATACACTGTTCCCTAACCAGTTAGTTTTTGCAGCAGTCATGACCCTTATCTATTTACAACAATTGCAGTATGGGATTTGTAGTCTTTCTGGGTGAAAAAATCAATTCTAAAACGCCAAAAAGAGTACCATATTTTGAACAAGGCAATAATATACTATGAGAGGCCAATGGTGACAATCTGCTACTAGCAATGCTAACCTGCCATTCTGTTAACCCCCACTGATTATTTTAAAGTGTAATTAATGAATTAATAATACTAATACAACAAATTACTGGGACTTGAGGCTTGCGAAGCTTCAGAAGAGTCCCAGAAGCTGGCGATTTCACTGGCGCTGGCCCCATGAATTAATAATACTAATACAACAAATTAAAGATTTTCAGCTTTAAACAGCAGCAACAACAAATTAGTCTTGTCATTTCACACATATAACAAATAATTTAAGACTTAAAAGTTCTATGCTCTCTTTTTTAACCTGCTCTGATAGCTCCTGTGTTAGTTGTTGTTTAAATATTCTGTTTTATTATTTTATCACACTGCCACATCTCTAGAAAACAGCTGTATCAGATGACTGCTCCACAAAGCTCAGCAGTGACTACACTAACTGGCAACAGCTCTTCAGGGTTTCACAAAAGGACCCTTACAAACCTCACTGCCCAGATATGCCAAGGGTCAATACTTGGGACATTCTGCATTCAAGAATATGTTTTACCTGATGTATTAAAGAAAGGGGTGGGTAGGTATGTAGGTATGTAGGTAGGTTCTCGTCTTAACCTCTATCAGAAAATGTAGCCTACTGTTATTGAGCTCATGTCAACAACCAAATAATATGCTGCTGAATTTTATCTTGAAATGAATGTTCTCTTTTCCAAATGTTCATACTATCTACAGTCACAGCCTGTCCTATGGATAAGTCAACTGGTTGCTTGAGTTGGGTACCAAGCCAAAGTGGGTGGGGGGCTCAGTACTTACTGAATGTATGGCCTATAGCCCTCTAGAACAAACTGATGTAGTTAACTGTTTTATACTACCCCGTTTTTACACCACAACAATGAACCATCAACTAGATTCAGAGTCTACTTCTTTTTCAATATCCAACCTGCTATTTACTCTATACAGTATAAAATTCAGCAGAGCATGGCTTTAGTTTGTGACAGTGTTATCAAGAACCATAAAAGTTACATCTACAACAAATGTAATAAACACTATAAATATATTTTCCAACCAAGATATAGGTTGGGGGGAGTAGAGATGAAAGGTCTCTTTACCCAGGGTACTCACTTTGTCACACACTCCTTGGATTCTGTATCATTTTTTAGCTTGTGGTACACAACTGCGCCCACTGCCAAGGGCCCGGCATCACCACAGAGGAAGGTAACCCTTCTGCCATTCAGATTCCGTAGTATTCGCTTCACATAGTCTAAGGACCGCTGTAGGTGACTTTGTTCCTTTGTCACACGGTACAGCTGAAGGTATAAGAGGGCAATCCCTGGAACGTTCAAAAGAAAAGAAAAATGAAATAACTTATTATCTCATTCTGTCTACATTCCTAACCAAACATCCAATAGACTTCAGTTTATTATAAAGTCTGTATTAACAGTCATAAACTACTTTAGTTTTCAGAGAAGTTTCATATTCTAACTGGAACAAAAACATGAGATTCTACCTAGATCTACAAGTTGAAATTCACTCAATTATTTATTGTTTCTTCCTCCTCTTGAAAGTAGCACATTACAAATAAAGTAACAGAGCACAGAAGATAAAAATCAATGATTAGTTAAAATCAAATTGATTTAAATCATTATGTAAGTGATGATTAAAAATTTTAAAAATCATTTTTTTTAAAACTAAGCAGTCAAAAACATCTGATTTTTAAAGGTTAAATCCACTCTGCAACAGAGCAATGGGGGAAGTCTTTTTGCCACATGGTACAGTTAGCTAACCTCATCACTCTTCACCCCTTACTCTTCACCCCCATGGAACAAGTACCATTTTCTCATTACTTTGTAATGTCTTGGTAATTAAAAATGGTTCCTTGGTCAATTTTTCAGGCAAGTTATTATTTTGCAAAGTATCTACTTTCTTAGTTCTTTAGAAGGATTTTTTTTTCAACAAGAAATTAAAAAGCAACAAAAATATAGAATATCAGGTAAAAACAAAAGAAAATAGAAACTAAGGCAAAAATGTTGTGGTGACTTAAAGACTAACTGCTTTTAATTTTGTGATGGGTTTTCATGGACAAGTCTACTTCCTCAGATCACTTGCCCACAAAAGCTCACATGAAAATACAGTAGTTTTTAATGTACCACAATATTTGTGGTTGTTGTTGTTGTTGTTGTTGTTGTTAGCATGGTATGCCAGCACAGACTAAAACTGCTACCTCTTCTAAAAATATAGAAAGATTCAACATTTGTGTTAATGACTTGAAGAGGAGGTGCAATGCTTATCAAATCAGAGATGATACAAAATTCGGCAGAGCAGCTAACACCCTGGAAAACAAATAAAAATCACAGAGCTCTTGATAGGTTAAAACACTGGACTGAAAAGCACAGAATGAAATTTTATAGGGAGAAGAGGAAAGGTATACACCTACAAAAATGAAACCAAACACAGTTATAAGATGGGGACTCGGCATCTTGGCTTAGTGAGATTACATGCAAGAAGGTTCTTGGAACTGTTGTAGATCACAAGTTGATCTACAACAGGCCAATGTGGATGAAACAAAAGGGCAACTCCTATTTTAGGCTGCATTAACAAACATATAGTCTTCAAATCTAGTTAATTACTAGTTCTCCTCTATTCCCACTGATTAGGCTTCATCTTGAATACGATGTCCAGTTCTGGATACCACACTTTAAGAAAGGTAACAAAGTTCAGAGGAAGGTAACAAGGATGATCGGGGTCTGGACACCAAGCCCTAAGAGAAAAGAGTGAAAGAACTGGGCGTGTTTAGTCCTGAGAAAAGAAGACTCAGGGGAGATACGATAGCACTTCTGAAAGATAGTCACTCATACAGAGGATCTGTTCTCAATTATCCCAGAATGCAGGACACATAATGCAGGGCTCAGGTTATAGGAAGCCAGATTTAGGCAGAATATCAGGAAAAACCTAATTGTTAGAGCAGTACAACAATGGAACCAATTATCTCAGGGGATGGTAAGCACTCAAATGCTGGAGGCATCCAAGATAAAATTGGACAACCATCTCGTATACTTCAACTTGGATTTCTTCACTGAATTGTGAGTTGGGCCTTATAGGCCTCTTCATTATTTCAGAGTTCTGTGATTCTGATCCCAGAGCAATGGAGGGTATGTTAGCAAGTTGTTGCAGGGGCTCTGCACCAAGTCAGAGAACAAATGAGTTTTTAAAAGTAACTTTCTAGGTCTGTTATGTAGCCTGTAGAATTTGAGAAAATCTATGTCATGATCTTATCTCCATCATCATCTACATCACTGGTTCTTAACCTTGGGTTACTCAGGAGTTTTGGACTGCAACTCCCAGAAGCCTTCACCACCAGCTGTCCTGACTGGGGTTTCTGGGAGTTGCAGTTCAAAAGCATCCGAGTAACAAAGGTTAAGAACAGCTGATCTACATCATAGATGATAATGAGTGCTGAAATGTTCTTCACTACTGGCAGCCAACTGTCCATATGGCCAATTCTGGTATTTTCTGAACTAAGCTTGCCTGCACATTTCACAAATGAATAGAGAACCACTGACCACTTAACTATATATCTGGTGTGGACAGAGCATACAGTAGAACCCCTTATCCACGGGACCAGAATCTGCGGTCTCACTTCCCTCCAGTTTACCACTAGCACAGTGGTTTAAGTGTCTGGCTGTGGAGACAGAGGTTGGCAGTTCAATTCCCCACTGTGCCTCCAGGTAGAAGAGCCAAACTGTGTAGCCTTGGGCAAGCAGCACAGCCCTGGAGCACCCCTAAAAATTTTTGGAAAGCACCATCTTAAGTTGGAACTGACTTGATGACACACATTACATGCATACATACAGTGGTGCCCTGCATAGTGACGTTAATCCGTTCCAGGATTAACGTCGCTATCTGGAAACATCGCTGTACGGAAAGGACAACCCCATAGGAACGAATTAAACTCCATTTAATGAGTGCCTATGGGGGGAAACCTCACCGGTAAGCGAAGATTCCCCATCCGGCCGCCATTTTTGCTGCCTCGGTAAGTGAGGGCAGAGTGCGAAAACGCTGCGGGTGGCCATTTTCTGCACCCGGCGGCCATTTTGGAGCCGCCGATCAGCTGTTTCCCTAACATCGCAATGCGAAGATCGGTAAGCAAAACGCTTACCGATCATCGCAATGCAATGTTTTGTCACCTAAAACATCACAATGCGATCGCAAAAAATGCGTCGCTATGTGGATTCGTCATGAAACGGTGCGCTCGTTAAGCGAGGCACCACTGTATATACATACATACATACCTACATGCATGTACAGAGAGAGAGAGAGAGTTGTAGTACTAGTAGTACCTCGGTTTACATAAATTTTGGTTTATGAGCCGAAATCCGTAAGAAATAATGCCTCAGTTTACGGTTTTTATGGGGGGGGGTTGCTGTACGAAAAGGACACATCGCACCTAGAGGCTTTTAGCACCGCCCCCATTGCTACAGCAATCCGCATTCCAGTTTATGTAATTTCCAACTATGTAATGTCCCAGATGACTGATTAATTGCATAAACTGAGGTACTACTGTATAGATATATAGATACAGATATAAATATGCCTTTGTCCCACCTTCTCTGTATTTTACATATTATCATTTCTCATGATTTCTACCAAAGCACTAATTTCCCTCCTTTTCCTTCTCTCTCCTTGCAGAACTATCTAACACAAACTGCTTTCCATTTTGCACCACAGGAGAAAAGTGGCACATGGAAATTCTGCATTCTGAAAAGGAAAGACAAGGAAAGCCCATATGTTAATTGTGTTTTGTGCTGGACCTTGACTACAGAGATATAGATTCAAATCTTGATTAACCCTTGGTCACTGATCAAGCCACACTATCTCATTCTAATCTAAGTCTATATTTATTTATTTATTTATTTTTATTTTTCATTCTAATCTAAGTCTATACCCCCTTGTATCACCCAGAACTTCTTCAAAGGAAGAAAATAAAGAAGCACAAGGAAAACAGAACATGAATAGATGTGCTTATATTTATCACAGACTTCAAAAATATTTCAGTATTGAGTCTGAACATTTATTTTCAAAACCTAAGCCATCTTCCACCAGACTCATAAAGCGACCTTCTTAAAACCTGTTTGCCCTTTACTGGACTGAGATAGCAACTAATTTCCTCAATCCCTGCCTCAGTTTTGTTGCATTCCACTTCTAAATAAACCGCAACTGAGAGGCAATTTGTATTTTCTAAAAAGCTTCAGCATCACAAAGCTGCTCCCATTTTTAGATTTATAAAATGAATCAGAAATGCCATGATTTTAGCACCTCTCCTACAGCACCATCTGTCAAGAACACTCTATTTCGAAGAGGCATTAATGAGGAAGAAGTGGAAAAATACAGATGTATCACTACATAATTGAGCATGAGGGCAGAAGAAGCTTGAAGAGCATGTAAACTGAACGTTGCTTCTCCATTCCATGGATTTTGCTGGGTTGCCAGCTCCATCCTCCTCTCCCTGCCCTCAACTGTCATCCAGCAGCACCTATCTATCTATCTATCTATCTATCTATCTATCTATCTATCTATCTATCTATCTATCTATCTATCTATCTATCTATCTATCTATCTATCTATCTATCTATCTATTTATTTATTTATTTAACTTATATGCCGCCCACACTACCCGAAGGTCTCTGGGCGGCTTACAGCATTTAAAATACAATAAAAAGGCAAAATAAAAGGGCAAAATAATTAAAATGTTAAATAATTAAAATTAAAAGTTCCTCCTGGACTGCAATGTTATCCACTGGTTCTGTTAAGAAACCGGACATGACAGGCTGTTTCTCTCCCTGAACCACTAGCATTCTAGGTAATCACTACAAGGTCTTTGCAAATGCAACAAGTCATGCCTGAGTTGCTTCATTTCTATCATCCCTCCCTATTTCCTTTCCCTTTTATTATCAAGCAAACTAGAAAGCAGAGGCTCTTTCTATATTGCAAGGCACCTCATACATCTATCTTGACTGCAACATGCCACAAGTACAGGACTGTATAAATCCAACAGTAATAAACACATTCTGATTCTTGCAGAACCAGGTTTGTACAAAGGAGAGAACAACAAAACCTACATTCAGGAGCACTTATAAATTACAAAATAAAAATAAGACTGCATAATCCCCTACATTTCACTTGGCTGCAATTTTTTACAACGATTTTATTCAAATTGAGACTTTCAAGGGAAGGGACACTGAAACCTGTCACATAACCATGGTAGATCTTATTCAGCCACCACCACTTTGACTTTTGGGTTCTCAATATGTAATGTACGCACACTCCCTGCTACCGTATAGGCTAGAATCGTGTTTTTAAAATGTATGAAAGCAGAGATTCTCTGAAATCTGAATTCTACATTCAACACACCAGTCTGTGTTATACTTTTTAAAAAAATTAGGGTGCAATCAGACAACTGCAAAGGCTTTCTTTCAGGGTGGATCTGATTTAAATAAAACAGATTTAAATTACAATTTCAATTTTTAAAAATCAGATTTTTGATTATATAAATAAAAATTGATTTTTACCGTATTTTTCCATTTATAAGATGATACTTTTGTCTAAAATCTTTAGATTAAAAATTGAGGGTCATCATGGAAGTAAGGAGGGGGAAGGGATCAGAGCGGTTTGATCCTTGCTTTCCCCCTCCACTTTCTTGAGAAGAAAATTTAGGTTAGAAAAGTGGGGGTGTCTTATTCACGGAAAAATATGGTAATTTAAATCATGATTTAATTGACTCAATTTTACTTTTTAAAAATCATTGATTTTTATCCTTCCTGCGGCACTCCTGAGCACACCAGATAGGCTCACTTTAATGGGAACAATCACCCTTAAAATGACCCTTCCATCAGCTACTAAATCACTCCATCCCAGTCCTAATAAGTAGAAGCCCTACAGCTGAACCAAAAAGTCCAGCTTTGGGACCAATCAGGGTTGGTCCAGAGCACATTTCCCTGTGCATTGTGTAATAGCTGGGGAAACGGACTGCACTGGACCCTTCTACAAGCAGTCCAGATTGTAGTCAATTTCCCTGTGTGACGCTCACACACAAGGCAAATCTGACAGGAGGGATAGGCCTGGAGGTACCTTCCTAACTAAAGTAACAGATATCTATTTGACAAAGTATCAGCTCAGATTATCAACCTATCTAATCAACCCATACAATTACAAACAACAGTGGAAGGTGTTCCACTATCCAACAAACAGCAACAGACCATGAACAGAGTTCCCACTCCAGTCTTCTGAAGATGCCGGCCGCAGAGACTGGCGAAATATCAGGAAGAACAACCTTCAGAACACGGCTAAAGAGCCCGAAAAACCCACAACAACCAACAGTGGAAAGGTTTTGCTTGTACAGTATTAAGTTATCAGGATTCACCCAGTGCCTCTAAACTACTGGAAGCATCAACAACCCACATTGCACCATTTGTATAATCAGGACAAACAACAGTAAAAAAGGAAAGCATTTCTATTGATGGAATAGTACGTGATACCTTTTATAAGATCACAAAGAAATTAAACAAATAGCAAGCTTTCATGGATGAGATCCATTTCCTCAGGCTCTGAACACACACCCTTCATGAATGGTGCAAAAAATTGTCCAGAAATTGAAGTTACATATCTAGGAGAGATTATCAGTTCTTCTTGTGAGGCTGAGCTTCCATTATCTTTGTAGCAAGGTCTGAAATTTTTACATTCTAGCTCATGAGACCATTTTTATTGATTGTGGGAAATTACCTGGGATTTCATGGCTGGCCATAATTGGGAAAACAAGGGTGAAGAATCTGGGAGTCCCCTAGCATAGTTTCATGGACAACAACAATATCTGCACGATCCTAAAATCACTGGAAACAAAGCTAGAATCTGGAATCCAGCTCTTCAGCTTCCAAAAAAAACCCACTGCAATTGTGAAGTTCATAAGATCACATTTAAGCTAACTCAAGAATTATTTCAGGTACCTCACCTGTCCAGCCAGTATATGCAGAGCAGTCATGAGGGTCTGCTGTCTTTAGGCCCTCTTCCATTTGTTGCAATAGATCCTTAATTTTAGTTGTGACCTTCTTGCTGAAATAAGAGTCGATCTGTGGAAAATAAAAATTGATTTAGACAGATAGATACACACAGAGATTATTACAACATATAAAAGATGGGTAAGAACTGCATCTCTGAGATACAGTTCCTTGATATTTCACACTGCCTTTATTTATTTATTTATTTATTTATTTATTTATTTATTTATTTATTTATTTATTTATTTAATGATAGAAGGCAAGAGAGCAGCTCAGCATTTGTCACTTCTCTGAACATGCTTCAGCAATTTTGACAGTTGCTCTTTTTTCTCCTGTAAATTGCAATCCAAAATCAGCATGCGATATGCTACGGTCACTCAGGAAATTACATTTGTAGCTATTTAAGGCAACAGAACATCATTCTTTCAGCTCTAGTCTAAAACAAGTAGCTATATCAAAACTTTTTAACTTCTTTTCGGAATACTGAGGACTGGTAACTTGCCAGTGATTCTAAAACATCACTGTTACCTCTAATGATTTCCAATTGGATTAAAGCAATCTACAGTCGTGCCCCGCTTAACGATTACCCCGCATTACGACGAATCCGCTTCACAACGATGTTTTGTGATCGCAATTGCGATCGCAAAATGATGTTTTTAATGGGGGTTTTTCGCTTTGCGAAGATCGGTTCCTTGCTTCCGGAACCAATTCTTCGCATTACAATGATCAAAACAGCTGATCGTCGGGTTTTCAAAATGGCCACCAGGTGCTCAAAATAGCTCCCCGCTGTGCTTAGGGATGGATTCCTCGCTATACAGGCACTGAAAATGGCCGCCATATGGAGGATCTTCGTTGGACAGTGAGTTTTTAGCCCACTGGAACCAGGTTGACCAGGTTTTAATGCATTTCAATGGGTTTTTCAATTTCGCTTTACGACGTTTTCGCTCTACAGCGATTTCGCTGGAACGAATTAATGTTGTTAAGCGAGGCACCACTGTATAAAGACTGCAACAACATCATGACCACAATTACAGTGGTGCCTCGAATTATGAACTTAATCTGTTCCAGAAGATGGGAGTAAGTTGAAGCACCATTTCCCATTGAAATACAATTAATCCGTTCTGGCGAAAGAAAAAATCGCACACACACCCCAAAAAAGAATCACTGCAAGACCCATCGGAAACACGATTAATCCCTTCCGGTTGAAGGGGGGGAAGAAAAGCAAGCAGAGCATGCAAGACAGAGGGAAATGGAGAGAAAACAATGCAAAAAGCAAACAAAGCATGCAAGACAGATCGGAAATGGGGAAAGAACAATGCAAAAAGCAAATGAAGCATGCAAGACAGATCGGAAATGGGGAAAGAGCAATGCAAAAAGCAAGCGAAGCATGCAAGACAGATCAGGAATGGGGGAAAAGCAAAGCACCACAAACAAACCCCCCAAGACCCACCGGAAATGGGGGGAAACACTCCAAAAAGCAACCAAACCCCCAAGACCCATTAGAAAGTTTTGCGGCTGGAGCTGGTCATAACTCGAAATGGTCGTAAGTCGAGGCACCAACGTATATGAGGCTGTGAAGAGAAAGAAGTAAATCCTTTTTTCCCCAGCAACAATTTCAGTGGCTTTGGAAAAAGAAATGGACTCGAGTAGTTCTGGAATAGCTGTTCATTTTTTAATCAAAATGAATTAAATCACAATTTTAATTTGTTTTGCTTCTGGAGCTGGTCATAACTCGAAATGGTCGTAAGTCGAGGCACCAACGTATATGAGGCTGTGAAGAGAGAGAAGTAAATCCTTTTTTCCCCAGCAACAATTTCAGTGGCTTTGGAAAAAGAAATGGACTCGAGTAGTTCTGGAATAGCTGTTCATTTTTTAATCAAAATGAATTAAATCACAATTTTAATTTAGAATATCAGAGCTTTTTATGTTTTTTTTTTTTACTTAAATCATGATTTAAACCAATTTGATTTTAATCCACCCTGTCCTTACCAGGCAAAAGCAGTTTCTCCCAGAGGTTAAAAATCTAACTTTTTACTTTACTACTTGCTGATTTGGAACCTCACTATTTTTGGTGCACAGGGAAGTTGGAAATACTTTTAAACACTTAGGCATCAGCACTAAAGTTTTAAGTGCCCAAGAAACAAGGCATATGGGGTTCTGTCACACCTGATGTATAACGCATAAAGAAACCAGCACCATGTTCCTTCTGGTTGTTCTCCCTCTGAATCTATGTGCACATTTCTAGCGAACTGGGAACTGCAGTGGGAAAAGATGAAGACTAACACAGAGGAAAGTGAATTTCTTTGTAGAAGAAATTTTCTGCCACAACACATTGCTGTACAATTCAGCCATGTCATTTCTTGGTAGGCCAAAAGAGAACTGAATGGTATAAATGTTTAGACCATATATGGCTTAATCCCTCCAGAGATCGTTCAGGATTGATTTGATCTAGGACCCACTTGTTTGTCTTTCTGGCCAACCAGGGTATCTGCAAAGCTGTCCTCCAGCACCACATTTCAAATGAATTATCCCCCCCCCCCCGGTCAGCTTCCTTACATATCCAGATCTCATACACATACATGGTGATTGGAAATACAGTGGTGTCTCGACTTACAACCAATTCAAGTTATGACCAGTTCCGGCCATAAAATTTTGCTTTGACTTGCAGCCGGAGCTTTGAGTTACGATCTGAAAAAAGGTGGGGGAAAAAGTGCGGAATTTAAATTGCTAACTGGTGGTCTGCGAAGAGGCTGCTTCTTTGTAGCTCTTTTGTCTCAACAGTTAGAGTGTGTACAATTTCAGAGAGGCTTCAGACTGCCTGGTGATGCTTTCTGCTTCTGAGTGAGTACATACAGGGTTTTGCAGTGTGAGTTTGGGCTGGAGGGTGGTTATGTTTCTGTGCTATGATTTTTGTTTGTTTGTTTGTTTTTGGTGATTTCCCCCCCGGCCCCACTGCGTTCTGATGGGGCTTGCAGTGTTGTTTTGTTTTGTTGTGTGTGTGTGTGTTTTTGGTGTGTGTTTTTTTCGGCCCGAACGCGTTCTGATGGGGCTACTGCTGCACTGTTGTTTTGTTTTTTGGTGTGTGTTTTCCCCCCAGCTCCCGCACATTCCGATGGGGCTTGCAGTGTTGTTTTCTTTTTTGGCTTTTGTTTGTTTGTTTGTTTGTTTTGCCCGAATGCCTTCCAATGTGGCTTGCAGTGTTTTTTGGTGGGGTTTTTGGTCTTTTTTTCCCAGCTGAAATGGATTAATGGGGTTTCAATGCATTCCTATGGGAAATAGTGCTTCAATTTACGACCAATTCAAGTTACGACCATCTTCTGAAATGGATTAAGTTCATAAGTCGAGGCACCGCTGTATAAGTGTGTGAATATCTCAAATGACACATCCTTGCGCTTGATTATCTTTTCTAAATCCTTCATGACTTGCCCTTCCTAGTTTCAGTCTTCTGATTTCTTAGCTGCAGTTTCCATTTAGATTGATCATTGAACCAAGGTGTACAAAATCTATTTCTTCACTGCCAACATTAAAGTTGTGTAGTTTTTCTGTAGTCGTTATTTTTGCCTTCTTAATGTTCAGTTGCAGTCCTGCTTTGGCACTTTTCTTTTACTTTTACTAAAATTCATTTCATGTCATTGCTGCTATCTGCCAGTAAGATGGTGTCAACATACTCTGTGATTTAGCAAAATAAAACTGAAAGCATCTTTACCAAAAAAAACAAGGTGTGAATTTCCAGGAGTTCACTGACCAACTACACACCAATAAATCATCTAAAGATGTCCTAATGAACTATTCCCATTTAATGATGACTCATTCTATTAAGTATCATTAGGTTTCAATTCCCAGGAAATCAGTTAAGAGATTTAAACAAACCTTAATTATATGGAACGTGTAACGCAATTCTCAAATATGTCAGGGCACATACAAACAACCCATTAGTACTTTGCATTAATGACTCAAGTCATTCTCCAGTTGCTTGGTTTCAAACACACACATTCACTAACTTGTCATAATGCTGGCACTCAACTTAAGGTTGTCAAAATATTATGTTCCTGTGCTAATGATCTGCAATGACATGAGGGAGTCTACGCAATTACTTGAAATTCAATAAAGATCAGTGTTTATAAATTAGAATATGGCCATCAGCTTTGAGGAAAAGGAAAAATACAATCCAGACAAGGAGAGGAGTGGAAAAAAAATTAACTGTAGGAAATGCCTCTGATGCATCCAGCTACACTGTCCAGCCCACACACAGATGTCCTCTCCCGATAGGAGACAAGGCCGTGCTAGCTTGAGTCAGGCAGCTCTGTTCGTCCCACAGTGCAGCTCCACCATCCTCTAGACCTCTTCTGGGTCCTGCAGCACGGCCTGCTTCTCTTACAGTGTTCATCTTGGGAGCAGGAAAAAACACAGCAGAAGTATCCAGAGACTTCCTGCTTTCACTGGGACATGACAGAGCCCTGCTTCTCTCCTGAACTTCTCTCCCCATTATGGGTCTGAAAATGTGGTGTGTTGGTGATTAAACATAATAACTGGTCTCCTGGTGATCAAAATTTGTGGCATTCTAGCAAATGCCTTGTGTGTTGCTATGAAAGATAGCTGGTTTTCAAAGCAGATTAGAAGCAGAGTGAATCAATCTCCCCTACTAAAGGGCTCATATCAGAAATTTTCAGTTAATGCTAAAAACTATAAAACAAACAGAAGTAACTTAAATCTAACATAGAAGAACATCTTTCAAAGAGGCTCCTTGACATTTTCCAATGAGTCGTTACAAAAGAGAGCTAATTTCCAAGGAAGATTAGGAATGGAGAAAACCACCAATGAAAACAACTCAAAACATATGCTTTCGATGTTCACGCTTATCTACTAATACTCCCACACACCAAAATCCAGCACAGAAAATATTTTTAAAGGGTTTCTTCAAGCTTTTAGAAACATTTCTATCCATTTGTTCAGATTTCTTAGAGAAAGGAGAAGTTTGGGGAATGAGTTTGAACAGAAACCCCCATAAGATGTGCACTCATTTGGCACCAAGCAACAGCAACCAGCATAAAGAGGGGAGAAACAAACGTTTCTTCTTGATGAGCCCTATGTTCCTCTCATCTTCTCCAGAAACAAAGGTTAGAGACTGTAATTATCTTTTTGGCAATCTTTTCTTTACAGCTATTACTGACTGATGCTGCTGTTCACTAGAGATTGGGATATTTGTATTTGTATATCCCCCCCACAGGTGGAGATAACGAGGGTCTGTCCACTTACTATTCCACCATTGATGTGAGCTCGACAGAGCCTTCCTAGCGCTCCATTGTCCGCAGTGGATTAGCCACTCTGCAACCTGGCAGAGAGGCTTGTCATCCCACCTCCTGTCCCAGAAGGCCCCATTGAGCTCAAGTCAGCGGCAGAATCGTGAGTTATCTCCACTTGTGTGTGTATTCATATACGAATACCGCCATCTCTACTGTTCACCTCTCAGTGCTACCACCTTTTGAAAGTTTAACGCCCCCCCCCACATATGATTTTTTTACCCAAGCAAACAGCATACAGTGGCAATTCCAAAAATAATGGTTTTCTAGCTTTTAGTGGACTACTAAATAGGACTAGCTTTTGGTAGGACACATCAGATCCCAGAATGTATTTCCTGATTAAAAATTAACAATAACACAACACCTTCCCAGGGAAGGCAGATTTCTGAGTAACACCTTCTAACAGACAGGATCTATTTCTTTAAAAAGAAAACATTTAAAGCAGGAGTGTTCAACCTTTCACCTTCCCTGGGCCACATTAGAAGATGAAAATTTGGTTTGGGCCGCATGGGGAGGCAGCCCTAGGC